AGAGCGAAGTGAAGAAGCGGGGGAAGCGAGGTTTATCCCAAGGAAAATTACGAGGGAGGGGAGCCGCACCGCAGCGGTTCGGGAGCTTTCGGACGGTGTGTCTGTGTGTGTGAAAAGAAGAGTCTGGTCAAAGCTCAAAAAAGCTCGCTTTTTTGTATCAGCCAATTGTTCCATTGTTTTCTCAGCTTGTCAACAGTGTGCTACCCAATCACCTGCCTCTGTCTATGCACTTCCCCAAGGATTGGTCCCCTCCTCTCTCTCTCTCTCTCTCTCTCTCTCTCTCTCGTCACAAAAGCACATTTTGCTCGATTAAATCAGCCCCTAAAACTTCAGGGGTGACGAGGCTTGTTATAGACTTGATAATTGGCTCCCATATTTTTCCCAATAGGCTCATGAAATCATTTGTTAGACTGACTCAGCCCCAAAAATTTCAAGGGTTGATGAAGCTTCTCACAGACCTGATGACCAGGTCCTATGTTTTCATCTCTAAAATGTGAAAGAAGCCATTTTGATGGACTGAATCATCTAAAATTTTAAGGGTGATGAGGCTGCTCTCCAAGTTGGTGCCTGGGTCCCATGTTTTCAACTCCAATATGCCAAAGATACCATTTTGCTGGACATTAAAATTTCAGGGCCGATGAAGCTTCTCACAAACCTGATGGATCTCATGTTTTCAAATCCATTTTGCTGGATTGAATCAGCCTCTAAGATTTCAGGGGTGATGAGGCTTCTCACAGATTGGGTATGGTATGCCCAAGAAACCCCTCTCAAATTTCAGGGGTCTCATGTTTTCAGCTCCAACAAGACTGAATGGGCCCCTAAAATGATACCACTTTGAAGTGTTTCCACCTAAATATCTGCACTGAATCACCCTAAAAAAAAAAAGTTTTATGAGTGATTCACATGCTTAATATATGATGTCACTGATGAGTTATTTCCACATAAACAACAGAATCATCCTTGAAAGGAAAAAAAAATGAATCATGGGTGATGTGGCCTTAAAGAGTATACAAGTGGATATCATGTTTTAACACCTTAATCATTGATCTATACACAACAAATGATATATATTGTCAACTCAAAATTGTTTTTCTTTGACTTGCTTGCATACAATGCAACATGTTACAATGGTAAGGGTTTACAACTAAATATAATGTAAGGACTTTTTCTCACCACATGCATGCCAACTGCAGACACTCTATAACATCATTAACCATTCTGCAATGATATTTCTCACTACTATATGTATGTAATAGAAATTACATACGTATAGTAGAAAAAACCATCCATATTATTATAGAAAAAACCATCCTATAACATCAAATCACAAGTCTCTTTCATTTCTCTATCATTATAGAAAAAAACCATCCATATTAGATTTTATTATCTATAGAATTTGAATTTAAACTCTATTTATGATTCATTATTTGGATCATATCACTTTCTTTTTTAATAAATATTAAAATTTTACCTATCTATTCTTTATACCTTTTTAGGCATAAGCTCTGCGGGAAAGGAGATCCAATTGGACCTTTCAATATAACTACCTTATTTCAATTTTACTCCAGCATCTCTTTTGGTATCTCCTTAAGGTAATGATTTGGAGCATTGTCAATTCCCATAATATAATATGTGATATGTATTAAGCTTAGGAATAAATTCATCAACGTATGATTGACCAGCAATTACTAGTGATAATGGCTTCATGCAAACAAGTTGCTCCATATAATCCGAATTAAAAACGAGTTTTTGGAGTTAGCTTACTCTTGCAGGATCGTGACCCTTTGGCTTGACTATTGTATCACGTGTTGACCAAGTCATAAGAGGTATGATAACTTGATGTCATCATCATCTTCTTTCGATTTATCCCTAGTAGTCTGTTCATGGTTTCAAACTTAATGATGACAACTAAATACGAGGATTATGCTCGTTACCACAATACTTAAAGGCACAAGTCGATGATAAACGAACACCACCTATGTCTGCATTCTCGAAGGCATCCCTCTCTTTCAATAGGATTCATAGCATGTGAAGCTCTAATAAGATTTTTCACTTTATATCGAATTAAACCAAACGCTCCATCACCGCTCCTCTAAAAATTTCTTTACTCTTACCATGCTCCCTTTTGAGTATCATCTTATTTTAGTCAATCTCATTATAGGTGGTTTTTTTTATCATCAGTTCAAATATTGCTCTTATTGAGCTTCTTATGTCATGATCAAATAATAAATAGTCATTTTTAGGTGTTGCTCAATCTATTATTAATAAAATTTTATTAACTCTACATGCCTTATTAATATCTCTGTGTATGATTTGTTGAATATGAATTTTATATATATATATATATATATATATATATATATATATATTCCTTGGAAGTAAAGGAAAGAAGTCAAATAGACTGTATTGAATAAATATTTTCTTTTATATTCATCATTCAAGTCAAAATAATTAAATCGGATAATTATACGAGTGAAACAAAATAATTCAAAAGTTTACAGTTAGAAAATAATAAAATAAATATAAAATATTTACCCAAGATTAAGATTCTTTTATTAGTCTTTGTATCTGAAAGCAGGTATAAAAAGATCAACTGTATAAAATTTTCATTATTTATTTATGTTTATTATCATGCCATGCATCAATAAAAAATCAATGGATGGTTAAGAATACCAAAGTGCACAAAGGATTAATATTAAAGATCTAAATATACTGCACAAACCGTGGCCATAATAGAGAATGAAATTAAAGGAATAGAAAAAGTGTTGGTAATGGAAACTGGTAAAGTATCCTAAGATAATAATATCATGTTTCAGTTGACGTTTGTACTGAGATTTTGATCAATATTTTGGTCGGTTTGGTATTATTATTATTATTATTATTATTATTATTATTATTATTATTATTATTATTATTATTATTATTAGTCTTCTTCTTCTTCTTCTTCTTCTCCTTATTATTATTATTCTTATTATTATTATTATTCTTCTTCTCCTCCTCCACCCCACACATATCCTTCCTCCTCTCCTCACAATTCCTCTTCGTCTGGCCTACACATCCTTCTTGTCCTCGAGTGTTTTTCCATTCTTCCTCTCCTATCTTATCAACACAAAATATATCAACACAAAATATGTTAACCAATCATATGGGTTCGGACGAATCCTTACCGGAGACAAACCACTAGTATGGAATAATATGCTGCTTGTTCCAAAACCAGTAAAGGCAACCATAGAATACCAATCTAGGAACTGCAAAAATTATTCTCATCCATAGTGCCAAATCCAATGCAGAACCCAATACATGACTTGCATAATTTTTTCAAAAGCACACCTGCAGTCAAAAAGTTGTGTCAATGTCAACAGTTCAAATGGCACTGTTGGGAGTTCAAATGTTACGATCTTATGTGCACAAGTCATGACAAGCTTCCAAGTGCCTCATTTTGACAGAGAACAATAAGCAGGTGTAGAGTGGAAAAAGCTTTGACTTCAATAATCTACCACAACTTTAGACTCAGTCAAAACTTTTGCTGCTAATGTAGAAAGGACTTTAATTTGAAGAAAATATACCACAATTGTTAGCATCATTCAAAACTTTTACTGCTAAATGCAGTACACTGAAGACACTCAGAAGAAGCAGCCTAGGTGACAAATTTCCCTCAAACATCGTAGAAAGTGCTACAAATTCTGAATCAACAATCCAAAAAGTTCACCAACATATGGCAGTTCAAATATTATGATCTTATGTGCATAAATCATGACAGACAATAATACTAAGCAGATATAGAGTGAAAGGACTTTTGATTTGAATAAAATTTACCACAACTGTTAGCATCAGTCAAAACTTTTGCTGCTCAATGCACTACTCCGCAGTTTACCAAGAAGAAGGTGACAAATTTCAATCACTGTAGCAGGTTCTGCAAAGGTTATGTTAACAATAAGTTTACCAATATATGGCACTGTTGAGAGTTCAATATATTATGATCTTATCAGCATAAAATCATGTTAGACCTCCATGTTCTTCATTATGACAGAACAACAATAAGCGGGTGTAAAGTGGAAGGGATTTTGAATTGAATAAAATCTAAAACAACTGTTGGCATCAATAAAAAATTTTGTGGTACAGCAGTCTTGGTCCTCCGGTGATGATACTTTGCTGCTTCCAATATACTACTGGTTTATGCTTCAGTTGCCGAATGCTTCCCTGTTATCTGGCCAAGTGCACAAACACATTTAGTGGATGTTTCCAACTCAATATAATCAAACCCTGGATTGAGACATGTGAATTAGACATAAGTCTCCTAAATGTACCCTAACATGAGATTTATGCGACAACTGTGTCCTAGATTCTTTCCAACAGAAGCGAGAGCTAAGCCAAATACTAAACCCAGAATGAGCCAAATACATAAGTCTCAAGGAAAGCACTTCATTTTCCACAACAGGCTGCAATTTTTGCAGCTTGTCTTCTGCTTCTGTACAACTTCCTTTTTCTATTTTTTTTTCTTTCTGTACAATTTTGATGCCTTAAAATATTGTTTTAGGATCATTCTGTAGAACTGTTGTCACTATGACCTGAACTGTTTTAGGAACCATTTAGCTGCATGAAGAGAACTAGAGAAGGATTTTTTAGCTTTTTCCCCTGATACATAGATAAACCCTGTTTGATTGTAGGAATAAGTAAATGAATTATGATATTCTTAAATGGAAGACAGTCATTTTATCAAAGAAAATTTTTTTTTGCCAGATATCTGAAAATTAGCCTTTCATTTATTTTAGCTACTGCCAACCAAATACTGTATCCAATTAGAATGATTACAAATGAGGAGAACAAAGAAAAAATAATGAGACATTTGCTTGCCTACATTGTATAACATTTGCTAACAGTTTCATTGAATAACATAGAACTCACAAACCTAACAGATTTTTGGAAGCATTAAATGAATCCAAAGACGGTTAATAGTTTTATTACTACCTCAACATGACATCATCAAGGAAAGAACAAGATAATCAATAAGCCTCTACATTCTCTGATATGGAAAATTATATACAAAGAACATGTTTCCACAACATGACCTGGTCTTTAAAAAAAAAAAAGACCTCATCTTGATTATCAAAATTGCAAAAGCAAAATATCAAAAAGAAAGAGAAGACGAGACAAATTTATCAAAAAGAAAAAGAAAACAAAGAAGTTAGCTTGGTCAGTCAAGCAAATGCTTCCTTTGCTCCATGGAGTTGTTCCCTCAAACAGAATCCACAATATCCATACCAACCTTCTGGTCGTCCATGGTTGATTTGGGTTTTAAGGTGAATGAATTTTGCTTTGGAAGTAGCTTCTTACTTGCTGCTGCTGACTCCTTCAACATGTTGAGGTAAGTATAGAATGACATTCCACTCAGAGCAACAACAGCACCGCATAAACTAATCATTCCCGGATCAGAATTAAAGAATACATATCCACCAAGCATAATGACACATGTTTTGAACTGCCCCAAAACAACATGAGAAGTAGCAGATGTCGCACTGCATAACATGAATCAGAATGAAAAGAGAGTTACAGGAGTAAAGAAGGGAGGCTTTTTACCATCACAATAGTGTAATGACATGTTAACTTAGTGTTACAATCAAAGATAATATACATTTCAGCAAGGCAGCTATATGATGGATATGAAATGAGAAAACCGACAGAAATAATATGACAGAAAAGCTCCGGGAGCCACAAACCCATCTTATTAATGGTGGAATAACTCGTGCATATCATGAAAGTAACAGGTGCAGTTTAGTTTGTAGCTTTAGTTGTGTAAATTTACCTCTTTCAAGTTGTTGATAACCTTCCTCCAAAAACAGAAACTGTATTCTTATAAGGCTTGACTGAAAAAGTGAAGTCCCATGTAAAAAATGGTTTGAAAGGATAACATCTGTGCAGGTGAAGTTTGAACAAACAATATATTGAGTTCCAAAATGGAGAATTTCCCATCACATGAATGATATGTTTGTCATCTCAGTGTTGTGAAGGAAGCATTATTACTAAATATCCACTGATGAAACTGCAACAGATGACACAAAAAAATATTCTAAACCAAGACATTAAAAAATATATTGACATGATAAATTTTAAATCCCTACTCAGGAAGTGTTAAAGTTTTCTTGCTAAAATGATTATCTTAAATGTCACAAAAGACTTACCCAAGTGCCAAAGCTCCAGACCACTGAAGGAGAAATCCAAATAAAGCTGATATGATGATGGCAGCCACATTGTTCCAATTCCAGTTGAAGGATAAAACACCTGGTGGATCTAACAAAGGCATCAAAGCTACGAAGAAGAATATAGTGATTGGGCTAGTTTTCCACATCAACCTGATCAAATGACCACAGATTCAGTAGAATTCTTAGAAGCAGTGACTAGCTTAGTAGATCTAGTTAGCTTACGCAAGAGCAGTCCAATTTCCAGTTTGTTGCATATTTGACCATAGAATTTTATTTATAGCACCAGGCACGATCCATGCTAATGCTACACAAGCACCAAAAAAGTTGAATTCTAGATCAGTGACAGTTGCAACAGCCACACTGATTGAAACAATAGCCAATGTGATAACCTGCATTGCCCAAGAAAGAAAGGAAAAACAAAATTGAAGGTTATTTACTGTGAAATAAGCACTGATAACTAAATCAAGTAAGATTGGGAACCAATATAATCCGTCTATATCTTAGATTTTCTTTAGTTGTATATTAGCATACACCCTAAACAAGTTTAAATTATGTGCACATTTCACTTAAAACCCAGTCTCTAAGACATTGTCAAACTATTTTCAATTACTTTTAGGAAAACAGATACATATACCTTTATGCTCAATTACAAGTGTCAGACAAAGATGTGGTATTTTGGCCTATTAGGTGTATATTCACAGGAAAAGAAGCTACCATATAGATTTTGCTGCATATTCAGGTGTATAAAATGTTTAATTTTAATGGTGTGTAGACAACAATGTATGGAAAAATGAACCAGCTAGAACTTCCATATCTTCAGCACTTCCTAAGAAAATATTTAGCTCGAGCCAGACCAACTCCATCAGAGTTATAAAATACTGAAGAAAGAGATGATTAATAGGACAAGCAAGTGCACCTTGTGAATAGAAACCTTCTTGTTGAAAATCATAAACTCAGCTAGAACAATTGTTGGAGTGACAGCTATCTTAGCCATCTGATAGAAACCCACACTGCAAATAAGAACCGGATAAAAAATAACAGAAGAAAGAGATCCAAGCATCAGAACCAAATAGGGCATCACTTTGCAAGGAAAAGGGGAGTATAGCTTCCAAATCATATCAGTTCTTGCATGACAATCTCACCTGTTATGTTGTAAGCTGACATTAGCGAGCCCTGTGGCAAGAGACATCACTGCACCCAATAGAAATAAAGAAGAAAATGGTGTGGCTTTAGAAGGAGGCGAAGCAGGCAGTAGAGAGAGTGCCTTGAAGATGGCCATGAGAAGCCAAGAAGTTACATAGTGGATCAAAGAAAGTGCAACTGGGAAATTAAACCCAACCTTGCCCATCACCTGTAGAAAAAGGAGTAAGGCTTATTCTATCTTACTGAATTAAAACAGATACATTGAAAAGGAAGTTGCCGTTAACTAGAGGAATTGATGTGATTTATTATATAGACAGACTTGGGTGGTGTAGGTGACATGAGAAAACGCACCACTTTGTTGGCCATGATTATTCCAACAGCAACAATGAAATTAAAGGTCATTGCCACAAATGGACCGCATAACCTTTGTTGCTGATGTTTTGCTCCTTCTGAAGTATGAAAATCACTGTAAAAGGAACTTTGCGGCTGTTCCAGTGCTCGACCTGGCAGCATGATATTGTGATATAAGAATACAAGAATGAGCCAATGTAGTCTATCCTATTCTTCTTTCCCTAGTATCAGATGATCAATAAACACTGTATTTTCTTTTAAAAAGTGCTGTGTGCTATTTGCTTTTAGGGAAACGGATAGAGAAAAACTGAACAGTCTTGCAAAGATGGGGACGTTAGCGACCGAAATTATGGTGATATGAAAAAAGAATGGAATTTTCCCTCGATCTTTCTAGTTATGCATAGCTGTGACAGCTCACAAGCAAGCAGCTAACGATGAAGCTTACAGTGACGCATAAAGAATCTCATTTATATTACTTATACGAACCTGAGTATACATAAGTACAAAAAGCAAGCAGCATCAAAAGCATAAAGATTCCAGGGTTTCAGTCGGTCATGGTTTTGTGTAACATGACCTTATATCGGTCACTACCGAATCTAACAAAGAAGGCACCCAGACTACTGGGTTTGGCAGTCAACGACTAATTAGGGCTTAACTTTGCAAGTCAAATGCATTGAAGAAAAATAATAATGGGAAAAAGTTCACAAATTAATCTGATAGAAAAAAAGAGATAGCAGGCGATTCGGACTGGGGAAAGATGGAATAATCTGGCACAATGGTCTATATTTGTATTCTTAGAAATTCCTCCAAGCGTACTACATTATTAGAAACTTACCAACAAACAATTATAGGAGGTGAGATTAGAACAATCAACTAAGGGCACCAAATAATAAGAAAGAAATGGTGGAAAACAGAGAATTAGAATGAGAATTTTGAGGCTCGATAAATCCATATTCGTAAGCTAAAACAAATAATGAAAAAGGAATCAATTCGAGAAAGAAGGGCAAGCACTCAGCGACCACTTCCCCCCGTCTTAGGGGAAACAAGGGCAAAAGATCTGTTTCTTCCCCAGGGACTACCCCCTCATATAACTCAAATATCGCGTCATTATGGCGACCACCACCGATCGAAGAAAAGAAGGGTACCGTTCTCTCCGGCATCGCTGTCTTTGCGCTTGACGAACCTCCTCCCGGCCTTTCCCAGTATGGATTCCCACACTCCCATTCCCACTCAGGACAAAAGAGCATCAGCCCGGACCGAAAGATCCGGCCTTTCCGCAACGAAACCACAGGTAAAGCTGGGGAAAGCAAGGGGAAGAGAGAAAGTGTGGGTCTTTCCTGAACTCTCCACCGGATTTGAGCAACGAAAGCAAAGGAGACGGTTGGAGACCAAGGGAAAAAAAAGAACAAAAGAAAAGGAGAAGGGGGGTATTTTGGGCTACGACCGGTGTCTAAGAGCTGCTGCTTTCCTCGTTAATAATATTCATCCATATTATATTGTTGAACGATTCGAATTGAAATGGTTTATATTGTTGGTTTGAAATATATATTCTTTATTAAAGAAACCAACAAACTAACTGCTACAGTATATGGTGTTGGTGGCCGGTACTAATATAAAAAACATCTATACTGTTATTATTGTTCAATCATTTAATAGTTATTTAGACAATATATAATATATATATATGATATTTAAAACATCTTTGTTATTATGCAATTATTTAATAGTTATTTAGACAAGATTATATATATATATAGGGTTTTCATGAATAATGTGATATTTAAAACATCTTTTCTTGTTTGTTGTTTATTATCAAATATGTGAGATTGTCAAGAAACATTGCATGTATGAAGGGGTGGGTTTCATGTTATACTTTCATGTAAGCTAAAAACTATGAGTTTGTCAAAAAAAAAAAAACATTGCATATATCTTTGTTACTGTTTATTATTTTTTTAAATCAAAAATAATGCGTCACATATTAATAAAAAAAATTATGGTTATATTTTTTCCCTAGAAGTTCAAATGTCAAAAATATTAGCATGATATTTTTAAGAAAATTTTAAAAAGTATTTAAAAATGAAAAGATGATATACTGTGAAGGACCTGAATAATTCTAAAAAAATAAAAATAAAAAACACTAGCATATGTTCGTTTGGATCCAATTTACAGCTATCATGAATTTTTAGGGCATTTTGAGATGTTCCAAAAAACAATGCAACACATATTATAAAACTTTTTTGATAGTCAATTTTTTATCAGGTGTTTGGAACCTAATTAGGAGGTCAAATGTCAAAAAAAAAAAAAAGAGTGCATGGTATTTTTGAGGAAATTTAAAACAGTTTAAAAAATAAAAAATGGCACATCATATAGGATTGAAATAATTTTTAAAAATATCAAAAAAATTATAAAATAAAAAACATTGACATATGTCCATCTAGATCTCATTAAAAGGTATTCAAAAACTCTTGATGCATTTTGAGTCCTTCTACGTGGTGCACTATTTTTGGATTTTGACAAAAAATAATGTTTCACATATTAGTAATTTTTTTTATGATCGATTTTTACCTAATTAGAAGGTCAAACAAATGTCAAAAACTTGCATGAGTGCATGATATTTTTGTAGAAATTAAAAAAGCTTTTGAAAAATAAAAAATGGCACAATATGCATGAGTTGAATAATTCTAAAAAATATCAATAAATTTCTTAAAATTGGAAAATACTAACATTTGTCCATCTAGATCAAATTCAAAGATATATCTGAAATTTCAAAACATTATGACAAGTCTATGTGATTCATTAGTTTTGACTTTTCCCCAATATAGTACATCGCATATAAAAAAATATTTTTTGGGGGGCTAAATTTTTACCAAGTAATTGTAACTTATTAGAAGCTCAAATGTTAAAGATCATTGAATGAGTGCATGATATTTTTATAAATATTTGAAAATTTTTAGAAAATTAGAAAATGACACTTTGTAGAAGCTAAAAATGTAAAAAAAAAATTCTCTAAAATAGAAAAATACTAACCTATATCCATCTAGATCAAATTTAAAAGATATCTCTAAAATTTGATGATATTTTGATAAGTTCTACTATCCATTGTTTTTTAGATTTTGACCACAAATAATATATTGCATATAAAAAATATTTTCTAAAGGCTAAATTTTTACTAGACAATTTGGATCTAATTAGAAGCTCAAATGCCAAAGAAAAATATTGCATGAGTGCATGATATTTTGTTAAAAATTTATAAAAATAAGAGAAAAATAGAAAATGGCATATTATGCATAAATTAAAAAAAATATAAAATTTTTTAAATAGAAAGACACTAATATATGTCCACTCGATTCTCATTAAAAGATATCCTAAAACTTTTAGGATATTTTGTTAAGTCCTACTATGCAAGACACTATTTTTGGACTTTGACCACAAATAATGTATCATATATTAGTAAAATATTTTTGTGGTCAAATTTTTACCAAGTATTTAGGACCTGATTAGAAGGTCAAATGTCAAAAAACTTATATGAGTGCATGATATTTTTGTAAAAATTAAAAAAAATAGAAAATAGAAAATGACACAATGTGTAGGAGTTAAAAATTTATGATAAATATAAAAAAAGCCTTTAAAATAAAAAAAATACTGACATATGTCTATTTGGATCAAATTGAAAGGTATATTATAAATTTCAAGATATTTTTTAAAGTCTTGCTATACAATGCACTTTTTTGGATTTTGGTAAAAAATAATACATCGTATATTAGGAAATATTTTCTGATAGCCTAATTTTTATTAAGTGTTTTACATATATGTATGTAGAAGGTCAAATGCTAAAAAACATTATATGTGTGCATGATATTTTACTAAAAATAAAAAAAAGCCAATGTGATTTTACCCATTTTAGTTTTTCAAATATTCATGAAATATAAAAAAAAAGCCAATGTTCTTTTGTGGAAGATGATGATTATTCTCACAATGATCTTTTTATTAGTCAAGTATGATATCTGAATGGTATACAAGTTATTTTATTTTTTATATTTATTTGATATATATTATGTAACTCAAGTAATATTTTACATTAGTTAAGAGTTTCGAGATAACGTTAAATTTCAAAAAAATTTAAAAGACTATATCATTCGAGAAAATTTTGAGATTAAATATGTTACAAAATAAATATCACAATGTGTACATGAAAATAAAATACTTAGAAAGATATAAAGATGTGAAGAAATTAAATACCAATCCTAGTAATTTTTAGGATGGAAGTCAATACCAACCTTAGTTGATGCCCTATAGAAGATACTTAATATAATCTCAGTTGGTTTTAAGGTTTGATTCAAGTTTACGAACAAATATGCCACAAAAATTACTATAGCACATATTAAATGAAAATAAATATTTTAAAATCGTAAACCATATTAATACATGAGAAAGTGGCAAAAAGTGAGAGTCGGTGGATTTCATAGCCATCGGATATAATTATCTTCCATTTGATCTCTCTGCTTTTAGAGAGCAAAAAGGAGGAGGAAGAAGAAGCCATTGTCAGGCATAGAAAAAGCCTCCACAGCATCTCCTCCTCTTAGCTAATGAAAGCTACAACCACCACTACACCTCTTATTGATACCACTAATAGCAATTCCACTACAAATAAACCGAGGAGGAAACAAGAAAACAAAACAAAAAGAAATGAAAAAAAAAACAGAAACAGCGCATCGGTTAGCTGTTTTCTTATTTATCTGTTGCTGGGACGGAAAACGTTTTGGCTTCTCCCACCAAGCATTTAGAGGTGACCGATAAAGGGGGGAGGGAGGGGCAGGGGAAGCGTGGCGACCGACTCGACTGCGGAGTTAAATCCACCCCGCGGAGCACCAGATCTCGCGCTGCAAGTCGTCGCCCGTGCGTCTTGGGGAAGAAGAAAGCCTTCGTCGTCCCCGGGAGCGGGTATAAATACCCCCACGAGGCCACGACTCTCCCCAATCCCCTAATCCCCAGAAACCCCGACCCCGGTGAGAGAGAGAGAGAGAGAGAGAGGCGATGCATCTCTACAACGCGTGGCTGCCGCCGGTGGTGGCGGAAGAGACGAGGCGGGAGGAGGAGTCCTTCGCGGCCGTGGTTAGATCGGTGAAGGACTTGTGGCGGCGGGATGATCCCGACTCCGTCTACTCCACCCTCAAATGGATCTCCGTTATCAACATGTGAGACCTTCTCCACCTCTCTTCCACTATTACAAGTCTCCTGGGGCTTGAATTGTTAGGGGTTTGGTCCCTTGCATGGCTCGATCGACTTGCAACTTCGACATGGAGTTTGATGAATCGATTTTGTTGAGTTGTCTTGGTTCTTGTGGTACTGAAAGATTTCATTGTCTCCCCACTTCTCCTTTTTGCCTTTTTGTTTCTGGTAGTTTCTTCTAGGAGTTTTGGTGGGGTGAAAAATGGTGAGTTTTGTTGATTGTCTCCACATGATTGTTTCGTTTGGGTCTGCTGTGTTGCGTTGCTCTGTTTCTTCTTGTTATCTACGTTCTTAGAACTCGGAATTGTCGTTAACTTTGATGGCATGGTTCACTGTCTTAGTTTTGTGAAAGCAAAGAGTGAAGTGTCTCCGGCAGACGTGAGGGAGCTTGTGGAGTTTGGTTTGGATTTGTTTCACTCCTCACAGAACAAACTACATGTCCAGGTGATGATGCTGATGATGCTATTGAAATGTATGACTTTGTATGTGAACCATGGTTTTGTATCTTCAGTTTCAGTGGTGATTGTTACTGTTTCATGATCTTGATTTTTTTTTTTCTTCTTTGCTTCTCTTGAGTAGGTTAGATGGGGAAGCGTGTTAGTCAAGCTTTTGATGAAACATGGGAAGAAGCTAGGATTAACTATTGAATGGAGACCCTTCTATGACTGTCTGACACGGACACATTTTAAAAGGTATTTTGTTGGCAGTTTCAACAACAATGGTTTATACTGATAGATTTGATGTTGGGCAGTTCAAGAATATCTTCTTTAAATTATTGGCGGTGCCAGGTGTGATCTACCACCTATATGAATTATTTCCTGGCAGCAATACTTCCATATGAATTTGAATCGAAGATCTTATTCAAAAGGAAGAGTATAACAAATTACTAGCCTATAGCACAGTTTATACATGTGAAAACCTTTTTAGATTCATTCATGCTTGTAGCTTTACACGGTCACACAGCTGTTTTGCAACCATTTTCAACTTTGTAATGCTCAATGAGAATATAAGTTTCTCTTGTTTTTGTCAGTGGCAAATTAATTCAACTGACAATGAGCTTAAAATTCTTTAGCTTTGTATGACAGACTCATGCTAATGCATATTCATCCTTTGAAAGTTTTTCAGCTGCCCAGTATTTACTGTCTAGACCATATATTGATTGTTTGCATGAGAAACTTTGAAGGTTGGATTTTTTTTTTTCAATTGTTGTGCTGAGCAGAAATACTGGCCCTGAAGGATGGAGGTTGAGACAACGACATTTTGAGACCGTGACATCGCTTACTCGATCCTGTCGGAAGTTCTTTCCTGCAGGTGCTGCTGCTGAAATTTGGTTGGAATTCAGGTAGCTACTTCTTTCATCAACTTCCAACATGAAATTCATTTCATACACATCCTGACAGTTAGGAAATTATGAAAGTCAATTGATGCTTTAAAGTTGGCATTACCATAGTATATTCAGATAATTTAGGTCATTTATGGTACTGTTGGTAGATAGTGAAGAAGCAAACAAAAGGTTGGTTAACCAGTGTAATAGATTAGTCATCAACTGGAGATATCAAAGTTGACTCTAGCTGGTCTATTTTTTGAATCTTGTCGCGTTTCGAGTTGGGAATTTGTCCAGGAAGTCTGAGCTGTTAGATGACTTGCTTGGAGGCGAGTCCTTCCGGGTTCAAGAGGGTTTGGGTGTTGGATCCCTACCTGAATGAGTATTGCAACCGCCATATGTAGAGGTCATCTTTTATAGTGTTCATTCTGTAACCACCATCTGTTATGGAGTTAGTAAGTGTATTAACAAAGAAAATATTCTTTTTAGATATCATGCTGACATGGCATACCCGTTTAGCACATTAGCATTTCCTGGTTGGATGGGTTCCATGTGTTGAGTCTTGACTGATCACAAATAGCTGCCATATTACCATCTAGATTTGCCAGTTGATGTTTTCAAGAGTATTCACTTCAATTATGTGATTCCTCTAAACGGTTATTTGATGTTTCGGAAGCATGCCTTGTTCAAACTGATTGTGGGAGCACCATCCTTTTGTGGTCTTGACTAGCCCTTCAAATTTATATCCTACTGATTGTTAAGACTTTTCTTTTTCTTTTTCCAGTCACGCCAATAAACAACTCATTCTGCACGAGAGAACATTAAGATTGACGATACCTTAGATCTACCACTACATGTTGGAACTGTACTTACTAATATATTTTTCTAACTGAGTTTTTATATTCAAAATTGTTCTGTTTTCCTTGTTATGCTTTCATTTCATAATAAGTAAAATTTTCTCAGTTTGTCCAAATTATATACAGTTGGGTTTTTTGTCCACTCCTTTAAGCACAGAAATCATAATTTTGCATTACATATTGTTAACTATTCTTTCTTGGCAAATTTTCTTTTCTTTTTTTATTATTCTATATGTCTGTTATTGTAATCTGGAGATCCCAATGCAAATTTTCAGCAAAAAACTTCCAAGCCGTGTAAGATTTGAATTTATGATCCCAAGTGAAATGTTATTCTTGTGATCGTGTTATGACATCTGAAGTCTAAATTAGAGGACTGAGTGAAGGTTCATGACAAATAATTCTTTTGATTTAGTCAATTATATTTCAATCACAATGAAAATGTACTGGTATTGCTTCTTATAATTCAGTAGAGTTGATTCTTTTGAGGTTACATTTTTCCTTCTCTTGTCATGATTTTATACTGAGCCCTTTTTTCCGAATTTTGTACCCAATCTTACCATCATGAGTTTGAAATGGAAGATTATGTAGTTTTAAGCAATTTTTGGACCATGATTTTGTATGTAGAAGACATTAGTGCTTCTTGTAGATGTTATAGTTGAAGTTTGGAAAAGCGTATAAATCAAGGATTGCAGTTTTGGGTACCGGGTCTGTGCCAATCTAAGGGGGAGCCGGTGGAGGAGAAGATGAGGATGAGGTGGTGGGGAAGTACCAGAAATTAGGCAAGCCGATGGAGGTAGGCCGTAGTTGGATGGTGGCGGTTAGGCGACGGAACGCGAAGAGTGAGGACACTGTAGGTGGCTGTGGGGATGGGGCCACTCACGAGCCTTAAGAGCCATGCTGCTGCTTTTAATAGGAAAAAACAAACGAGCAGCTGCCTCTTAAGCGGAGAAAAAAGCAAATAAACATGACCAACCCAAAAGGGGTAGTCTATATCCCGGTTCACACTCGAATTAATAAATACCATTCTGTACTAAACATTCCGGGTGAAATCAAGCTTCCTAGTTTAAACGAATATGAATTAACTGGAGTGTCTCGACATATTTGTTAAACTTGGCATTTTGAGAGGCAAAGAGAGACAAATAATTAGTTTCACTAATGCTATTTCTATTAGAATATCCTAAATAAATGGATATTGTCATTCCACTTTTCTCATATTGCAGACTGACTTAGTTAATTATTATGCAGGGCTTTAATGGAAAACCCATGGCATAACTCAGCCTTTGAGGGTTCAGGATTTGTGCAACTCTTTCTTCCTGTTAACTCCGAGAATCAGAATTACTTTACAAGGTATAATGGAAGATGGGTATTACCAAAACTGAAACTTCTTCTCTTTTACATGTTCATACCATTTGATGATCTTGCAGTTGTTGGATCAAGGAGTGCCTTGATCTTTGGGAGACACTACCGAATTGCCAATTTTGGGATATTCAGTGGACTTCTTTTCTTGCACGTTGTATAAAGAGTTGCAAGGCTATTGACTGGGAACAGTTCTTGCCTGCACTCTTTTCTCGATACTTGAACATGTTTGAGGTATATGATACTCTTCTGAGTAAAATGCAATAGTTTATGTTAAACTGATCAAAAAGTTTATAATGTCCTTTTTTTTAATCTTTTATCTAAAAGAAAGTTTCTGAGATAAAAAGAGCAATGTAGTGGTTTAGCTTTGTCTCCTGTATTAACCTTTTGTTTTAAGTATAAATGAGATGACAAATTTGTTGCCTTTTTTAATTATTATTATTTTTGCATATCATCAAAGACATTTAATAGATCATCACCATGCATATATTAGTCCAACATACTGAAAACTAAACCCTACATCATTGGTGCAACAACATCAAGAAAGCAACTCCAATCCAAAGTAGTTGAATTCGTTGATCATCACCATGCATAAAAAAGTAGTACGGGATACTGAAAGCTAAACCCTACATGCTTAATATGACATCATCAAGAAGTGCTCCAAGTGCTTCACTCCTGAAACCCTCATCTCCCTACTTGGAAGAGTTGGGTCCTCTCTTCTTCCTGAATCCAACAACTGCGGTGATGAACCGGCGGTTATACTGCATCTGCTTGTGGGCCCTGCTCCTCGGCTTCTTCTTCTTGTCCTGCTCTGCCACTTTGGGGGTCTGTTCCATCACCTTCCGAGCATGAGCGAGAGATCTGTGCACCTTCCCCATGGCAGATGTGATTCAGCTCCTTCTTGGGTTCGCAGCGAGGCATGGAGGGAGGAGCGGCCACAATGACAGCCTTTTTTTATTATTAGCACTTAGGATAAATCGAGATATATTCTTATTATCTAGAAGCTACATCTATCTGTGTCTGGTGTTTATGGCATCTTTATCTGAGTTATAATTAGTTATGTAGTCTTCATATTAGTTACATCTTGAATATTCCCTCGATAATTATATATTTTAGTTTATGCATTTCAGATGTTAGTCATAAAGAGTAATGTTTTGTGATTATATGAAACTTATGATAAGCCTTCATTCCTCATTATTTGTTTTATTTGCAATCTGTTTTTTTCTTTTGATTCCCTTTTTTTTTTTAATTTTATGGTGCTGTTGGAGTTTCATATGCTTTTCACTAATTTGTAATAAATATTCTTTTTCATATAAGTAATCTAAAGCATATGCTGATTTATCTATTTATATGCTGACCAAAAAACATTTCTTACTTAATGGTTATAAATTCTGAAATGATAGTTGTGGTCTGTTATATACATGGTTTATTTAGGTTCCTGTATCAAGTGGAAGTGGATCATATCCTTTCGCCCTGGAAGTTCCTAGAAATATGAAGTTCTTGTTTTCCAGTAAGAGTGGCACTCCTGCTAAGGCTATTGCAAAGTCAATCGTAAGCAATTTTGTTCTGTTTTTATATATCAAGAGCATTCTAGGCATATTGTTATGCTTTTCAGGAGTCTTTTTATATTATGTTGATTTAAATCCTATGGTATTATTGTTGCAGGTTTATCTCTTGAAGCCAGGTAGCTCAGCGCAAGAGTACTTTGAGAGGCTGGCAAATCTACTGGAACAGTATTCTTTTCTGACCTCTTATCTCACTCTGTGGTTTAGTTGCATTTCTTATCATGTAATTACCATTTAGCATTCTGTTGCTGATGAAACATTTGGTTTTCTAGATATTATCATCCCTCAAATGGTGGTCGCTGGACTTACTCTCTGGAACGTTTTCTTCGGTACTTAGTAATTAACTTCCAGAAGCGACTTCAGCATGAGCAGCTGTAAGATGTCCATTAAGATGATGCAAATTCCAATCCCTATTGCTTTGCTGAAATATTTTTCTCAAATTATTTCTGTGCAGCAACCCGGACCAAAACAAAGAGGCTGATATCTTCTTGGGAAAGACAGAAAGGGCCTTATTTGTTAAAGTGCTGTTGAAATTAATAGATCGTGGTCAGTACAGCAAAAATGAATCTCTTGCCGAAACAGTTGCTGTTGCAACTTCTGTTCTGTCATATGTGGAACCATCCTTGGTCCTTCCATTTGTTGCATCTAGGTTTCAGCTGGCATTGGAGACTGTGAGTATTTGATAATGTAGAACATTTTATTAGTTGGATTATCTAATCTGTGCATATGAGTAGGGCCACAGTCAATATAAGTTTTTATACAACTTATTTTATTATACTATTTATGATAGTTGGTTGTTCTTGCTTTATTCCTTTATGGAAAATAAGAACATGTAGGACAAACTTCTTTGTTGGTTCATAGAGATTAAGAAAGACTAAGTGGTTGTGGGCAAGTAATGTTGTATTGCGTACCGGATCTATATTGGTCTTTGGTCAGACTGGTACATACTAGTCAGTACCAGTGTATTGACACATGGTACACTGGTATGCACTGGTGTTTCAAAGATAAAAAAGGAGAAGAGGAAGGCGGAGTGGAGGAAGAAAAAGAGGAGGAAGGAAAAGGAAGGAAGAAGAGGAGGTGGTGGTGGAAGAGGTGCAAGGAGGAGGAAGAGGAAGGAAGAAAATGAGATGGTGGAGAAAGAGAAGGAAGATGAAGGAAGAAGAAGAAACAGTGGAGGAGAAGGAAGAAGAAGAAAGAAGAGGAAGTAGAGGAGGATGAGGAAGAGGAGACGGAGAAGAAGAGGAGGAAGCCTACTTGGGAGGTAGGCAGTGATGAACAGCAGCAGCGTCGGAGGGCAGTGCGAGGGTGTGATTCCATGCTCCTTGCCAAAAGATGACTGGACAGTCCGAAATGGGAGCGGTCTGCATACCAGTCGACACCCAGACCGCTAAGTACCACACTTTCGTACCTGTCTGGGTGAAATAGAGAACCCTGGTTGTGGGACATGTCACCCATATTTTAACCATATTCTCTTGTGTCTTCTCTGATATTTCTGTTGGTTTTAAACACAATAGGACTTAAGATTTTGTGTGTTCTCTTCCACTAAAAGTCGGTAATTCACTGGGATAAAAAGTTCTTTCCTTTTTGCTGGGTAGTTGACAGCCACCCACCAGTTGAAATCTGCTGTCACATCAGTGGCATTTGCTGGTCGTGCAATTTTTCTTGCCTCAACTTCTGCTCCTCAAGCTGATGATCACAACAATTCTGATGCTTTGGTGGATCTAATAATAATCTCTCTCTCCAATGCATTACTTGGTATGGATGCTAATGATCCTCCGAAGACCTTGGCAACTATGCAGTTGATTGGTTCCATATTTTCCAATGTAGGTACTTTTGTTTATTCCTGTACATGTTCATGTATTAATAATTGTTTACTCATAAAGTTTCATGTAATTTTAGTTAGCTGTGGTTGGTGACAATGATGATGGGTCTTCGTTCCTGCAAAGCATCAACTTTTCAGAATGGCTAGATGAGTTCTTTTGTCGCTTATTTTCTCTACTTCAACATTTGGAACAAACTAGTATCACGTGAGGAGTTATATTAGTTTTTATGCATTCTTGGTGTTTGTTGTCATCTGCTGTTGGTTCACTCATCCATAGCTGATTCCTGCAGAAATGAGGTTCCTCAAGCTTCAATTTCATCAGGAACGTTTCTTGTAGAGGACAGTCCATACTATTTTTGTATGCTCGAAATCTTGCTTGGGAAATTGTCCAAACCTTTGTTTGATCAGGTTTTTAATTTTTGGTCCAGAAACCACTTTCATATGACTAGTTTGCCTGTTTTCTTCTGTCCATTTTATATGTACTTTCTTTAATATTTTCAGTCTTTGAGAAAAATATCCAAGTTTGTCAACTCAAATATTCTTCCTGGAGCTACCACCGAAGTTGGCCTTCTTTGTTGTGCTTGTGTTTTGTCAAACCCAGAAGAGGCAGCAGTCCACCTTATTAAGCCAATCTTAACGACCATATTATCCTCTTTTGAAGGAACCCCAATTTCAGGTTTTGGTGGTGGAAGACGTTTTGATGCATCAGTTTCTACGAAGGTTTGTTGACACCATATAACTATGTAAATGTTTGTGGTGTCATATATTATGTCTTGAATTTTGTGTAGATGCAGGCTGCACTTTCACCAGCTCTTGAAACAGCATTAGAATACCATCTGAAAGTTCTTGCAATAGCCATAAGTTATGGGGGATCAGAGCTGTTGCAGTTCAGGGATAAACTAAAGGAAGCAATCGGATCTGCATTTCAGGCCCCTTCTTGGAAGGTGTTTACAATTTTTCCTAATAATCATTATCAATTAACTTCATGTAGGTTCAACTTTAGGTTAGTTATGTGTCTTTTCTTGAGCAAGGGTAACACTAGTTTGGTCATGAAATGACAGGTCAATGGAGCTGGCAATCATGTGCTTCGCTCTCTTCTTGGAAGCCTCATTCTCTATTACCCCATTGACCAGTTTAAGTAGGCAGATAGTTATCTGCTTCAAATTTCATCTTTGTGTAGTATGTATTTATACTATTGGCATTGGCATTTTCTAACTGTTGACTGTTTCTGGCTGTATAGGTCTTTTTGTAGTGAGCCTGGTTCTTCTTTAATGGAAGAATGGCTTTGCAGCAAAATTAATGAGAATGAAATGAATGAAAAAGCCAGTTTGTTTCCTCGATGGCATGTTCCTACTCAGAATGAACTTTCTTTTGCAAGTGAGCTCTTAGGTGTTCATTTCCAATCAGCTCTGGACGTCCTTCTCAGTATTTGTCAGACTGAAATGCACACTGAGGCAGGTAAGATAACGTATGATCTTTTTTAACCACTAAATGAAGAGGTATATTTGAAAGAGCAATCTATACATATCAATAGGTGGTAGACACATGCAAACTTAATTTTAAACATTGCATTGTATACCATAATCTGTGTACTGAAATTTAAGCCCTTAGTACTTAAGGTCCATTCTTTGATCCTGCTTTACAATATCTAACTAAATTCTGTCTCCAAACAGAGATTTTCATTATATCCTATGCTTTTGAGGGTTAGAATTTTGTTTTAATGCTGCCTGCTACAATAGTTTCATATTTTGTGATTTTACTAAAATATCTAAGGTTTTACTTTCTCATATATTGAACCTAAATCTGAAACTTATCTCTTAGACCAACTAATTGCATATTATGATACTAATTAAGAGAAGTATTTTGCACAGGCGATGAGAAGGAACACTTGAAAGTGACTTTATTGCGCATATACTCATCACTACAAGGGGTAATGTCATGCTTGCCTGATATGCGACCTTCCTACAAAAATAAAGGAACTAAGGACACTGATTTTAATTATTCTGTTATTGCGGGAGCTGTTGGGTCATGTATTGGTAGTGCAGAAATGAGGGAGAGGGCTGCTCAGCAGATACATGTAGCTTGCAAGTATGTTTTTGATTATTAAATATTGATATCTTACAAAGGTTATTTTGTCGAGCTGAATCTCATTTACCACCGTAAATTGACAGATATTTACTGAAAGAAAGATCAGATGATAGCATACTTCTTATACTTATTATTCGTGTCATGGATGCTTTAGGGAATTTTGGTATGTGCTTTATGCTAAAATTCAATCTGGTAATTTCTCTAGAAGTAATGATCTGTTGGCCTCTAAAACCAGTGGTCTATAACCTTCCCCCCCTTTTTCATACTAACATAGGAAGCTTGGAATATGAAGAATGGTCGAGTCACATACAGGCTTGGAAATTGGAGTCTGCTGCGATAATTGAGCCTCCATGTAATTTTATTATTTCTTCTCATGCTAAGGGAAAAAGAAGGTGAGCCTTTTGTAGCTGTATTGGTGCTTTTGATTGTTATGGAATATCAAACTAAAAATTGCTGAGATGCTACTGGCCTACTATATTTTTT